TATGACAATTGTGCTATAAAAATTCGATCAAGCTGAACATTAAATATCAATACGTCATCAGGCTAGAGTTTCACCTCCATTTATTGATCTTTGATCCCGGTTCAGGGAGATGAATCCTCACATTTGGCGGCCATGCTTAACCAAAGCCTGGTGATTAATTCGTTACTATAAAGTAGTGTTTAGTATGATTGTTGCATGGCTTCAGCATTGCCAACATGCCCAATATCTCCATTCGAAGGTATACAGTCCATTGTAATCAATGTTGAAACCACCGACCACAACGAGAACATTTCAGTGGAATGCTTGACCAATAATTCATTCTAAGAACTTAATAAGATAAAACATATAGAAATCATAAATTTTTTGCATAAAAAATTAATGCCATCATAATTAAAATATTTGATTTTTTTTTAGCATAGATCTATGATTTAACTTTAAGTCAGTTCAATTATGCCACAGCATAAAAAGTTCAAACACGCGAAATATTTTTAAACAACACTTAATATCAAATATGTGTTTACATATTGACAGTCGTGCTAAAATTTTAAGAAGCATGACATAAGATGTTTATGAATTAAAGAATTCTTAAAGCAGCTCGCACATCTTTAGATAATGTACAAGGGATCACAATTCAAGCATTGCTGTGATAGAAATGCATGAAAATGCAGATAGGCGTGCTGGTGCATCAAAAGAGGGGTTGAGTATAACTCATCACAGATATACTCAAATGACATAAAATTACTATGGACCTTCTTGCATGATTATAATGGTTCACAGGCATCCGAGTGATTCAAATGATCATGAAAACCCTTTCAGAATCATTATAATCTTGGATTGATCTAGCATATTGGCTAAAAACCCGAGCCTATTTTTTATTGATTCCTAGTTGATCTAAGCGTCTTGGTGAGTTGTCACCACCAGGTTGCCAGCCTAAAATACAAGGTTGTAAGATTTAGCCAACACAAAGTCACTTTCATTATTGTTGAAACAAGTGAGCCTGAACTATTTTTTAGATTTTGATGATTTCAAACATTATTAGATAAATCAATCAATGTTCAATGTTGTGTCCAGGTTACTTTATTAGGCTAACATTTCATTTCACGACATATGAAATAAAGTTGCATAAAACATATACGAAGCTAAATCAGAAAGAAAAAAAATGAGCTCAAAAAGTGCATAAATGGGATTTGTCAAATTCGTATAATATGTCTGTATTTTTTCTTTCGTAAGTCGTTGTTCGTTTAGGTGTATGATGAAAAGACAACAAAGCACACATTCACGAGTGGGGATCAAAATTGACCACTTGATTTATATAGTAAATTGTACTTTACGAATTTGATCGTACTGTACAAACAGTTATGACACCAATTAAATTAAGTGCTATATAAAAATTAATAAAATTTGAAATCAGATAATTAATCATATTGTACTATCTTGATCATATAATACAATCAAGCAAAACTCAATTTACAGGAATTCTCTCATAATGAACTAATTGGATAGTATGAACTTCTAAAATTAAAATTTAGGGTTTGCTTTAAATAAAAAAATTATGTTTTTGAACCGAAGAGAAGTGACGTAAGATATTCAACAAAGATGGGTTTTTTATATGGGTTATTAGGTAATTTGTCCCCTCCACCTTATTTTTTGCCTTAGCGGACAGCTTTTCACGTGCCAATTAAATTGCGAGCCCACTGTCCAACCGCTTCTTCGTGCGTTCCATTCGCTCCACAGCCCTTCCATCGTCTGAAGTTCGAAGCTCGATTGCTCGAAGGAATAAATAGTGTTTGTCGCTTCGTGCACACTGTAGCTCTTCTTTCCCTTATCCCTTATCGTCTTCTAAGTAATTTCTTTTTTTTTTTGCACTGCATTTCTTCCCGGTAGTTTCTTCGTGCACACTATAATTCTTCTTTCCTTCTCCTTTCCTGCTCTCCGCAACCCATAAGATGAAAACTCTTATGATATTTTCAGTTATAATTGCAGGTTTCATGCAAACTATTTCACTTATGATAAATTTTGATTTCATCTTCATGGTTATTAATCCATCAATTTAATCTAAGGTTTATGATACCAGTGAGCTCAAAGCAGCATGAAAAATGTTCATATTTCACAATACATATGTATGAATTACAGGCTTTAAGTTTCTGTATTTATACAGCCTGCAAAAGCTCAACTTGAAAAAGTTCCAATTTTTTGCTTTTTATTCTTCGTGCTGTCGATCAAAAGTATTTTTCTCTTCTTCTTACTGTTGATTTTTCAATTTAAAACAGAAGAATCAAAGGCCTGCTATATTTAAAGAGCAATTAAAATAAATAAATAAAATTAGTTCAAGCCAATATATATAAGTTTGTATTAGACTCGATCAAAAACTCAAAACAATTAAGTCAGAAAAAACTTGCATGATTATTTTAAAGTGTGATGGTTGATTTTAATAGTTTGAAATTATAAAATAATCCTCATCTTTCTAGATGGATCATTTTTTAATACATGTGAGTAATTAATGATTTGTCAAATATGACGTGTTGTGCTATGGTATATTGAATTAAACACTTTTTATAGAGGTGTTTAAAAATTTTTTATGGTTGATTGAAAGGAAAAGCAAGACCCCCCCTCTAAAAAATCAAGGTTGATTCTACCCCTGCAAAGAAATATTGGGCGAGTTGAATATTTGGGGGTGTCTGCGAAAGCTCAAGGGCTTCAGTAACAACAATAACAAAAACTTATCCAGTAAAAAGTAGGTTAAAAACTACAATCGAGGAAAAAGTAAAAATCTAGGAAAAAACAAAGTGGAACACACAAAAGTGAAGTGAAATCAACATTTAGTACCTTAATTGACAAAAAAATGAAAAATAAACCCAAATTCCCATTCCAAGCCAACCAAATTAGGAAGAGAGGATAAGAGAGCCCATATGCTTCAAGAGAAAGTAACTAAACAAATACTCATCTAAAAAAGAGTGCACTGCAAAGATCTTTTGGCATTCACTCAAGTTGGTTCTTCAATTGTCAAAGCTCATTGTCGGGAGCAAGCAAACAAGTTCAAAGACACAATTTATTGTCCATGCCATCGAATCATCTATTATCTGATAGAGGATTGTTATTTCTTCATTAATTGGCAATCAAAGAGCTACCAAATTGTGAGCTCATTCATTCTAATAGCATATATTCCATTCAAAAAAAATAAAAATAAAGACTAATGTCATCTAAATTTCCAGTCCAAGATGCATGAGATGACCATGAAAAAGCCTAGTCAAAGAGAGAGGAGGATGGGAACTTCTTTAAATCAACGAAGGTCAAACATATGATCAAAATGATATAAGCGATAGTGGTGGTTCGATGCAAAAGTTCCATTGAGAGGGAACTAAACCCAAAGGTCATTTCTCAATGAAGTCACCCATTGAAAATTCCTTGCCATATGAGACAAAATTTTTATATAGCTTCAAAAATCAAGGGGAAGTTAATTTTGAATTTTTTTCAATCCTCAAATATCAAAATTAAGATTGAGAAAGCCAAACATTGAGATGTAGAAACTCATTGACTCCCTTGATGAATATGAGCAATAACTCTGACGGTCACTCAAGTTAAAAGTATAAAAGCACAATCTCAAACTTGATCTAGAATCAATTGGGGTAGAAGGCACACATCCAAAATGACCTACATAGTCATAAAATATTGTGGTGAGTAAAGCTCAAAAGAGTGACAAAGCCTCTGGCACCTCCCACAAATCTAAGCAATAAGACCCTCAAGATAAAGCTCTCTTAACCTCCAAACAAGTAGTGCTACATTACGTCACCCTCGATTGGCTTTGAGGAAAAACTTCATTCCCCATTTAAGAAATAAAAGGATAACCAAAGGATAGTCACCAAAAAAATGTTCCTAACTTAATCGCAGCTCAAATGACTCTAATGATTCAAAAGAAAAAGCATGTTCACTCGGAGGGCATTCCTATTCAGCGTAATATGATCATTAAAACAAATAAGCGGTTACAACAGCGTCAACAAAGGGAAACATTGCACCCACCTAGCAATTATAAGGCAAGTTTATGAGAGTGATGTATACAACCATTTCTGCTAAGGTGGTGGCTCAATGGTTGCTTAAAAGATGGAAGCATTGACTTTTCATTGGGGCTTATAAATAGATACACCAATCCAAAGGTCAAGGGAAGACTCTCTAAACTCAAACCTTCTAGAGCAAACTAAGAAACATGAAGCCTATAAAATAACTACCTAGCTCACTTGACCTTGTAAATAAACAAGGTATATATTAGTTTGCATGGCTTCATTTTCTTTCTTTCCCCTATTTTATATTCTCTTTGCATATATTTTATTTCTCTCTCCATCACTTTGCTCCAATTGAAAGGCTAATAAAAATCTTCCTCATTTCTCTCTCTACACATTTTTGGTCCAGCTCTTAAACCTATGTAATCTCGAGTAGCTTCATAACCAAGAAAACAATGAGCAAAATATAATTCTAAAAAGTGTTTGCATACTCAAAAATCATACTTACACATGTTATCACTTACTAATGAATTTCACCCATCCCTAGAATATAATGAATGAAATAACAAAATTACATATATTCAAGATGCCTTAAATCAAATCATTAACAAACAAATGGAGGAAATTATAATAACATTCATAGAAATAGCGGAAATGCAACAAAGCAAAGAATATGGTTTAAAAACTTCAAAAAAATGCAAAAAAGTTGAGACGCTTCTTAAAGTGGATGATTAAGATAAAGAAACCTGGTTATTGATATAAGTGATCAGAAGGCAGGTGTTCCTTTGAAGGTCATGTCTTTTGACATATAACATAGTTACAATGATCTCCTACTTCACCTCAACCAAAAAAAAATCTAAAAAGCAATAACTGATCCCAAAAGAAATGCATCTAGTGTGATAGATGAGATAACATTTGTGCATTAGAAACACAACTGAGTAGCTTGTAAGAAAGTCTAGGAGTCCAGAGGGAGGAGGTGGAAAAAAGGATGATGAGAAGATGTACCCGGAAAGTAGATTTGGAAGCCTGAGCTTCATTCGACTACGTATCTGCTTGGCAAGGGTATCCACCAAAGCTACTCTACCAAGTTTGTTTTGAGGAGCACCAGTTAGTATAGATCTTAAACTCTCGCTCTCAGCTCGCCAAGCTGTTTCAAGTGAATTTTCTGAGCCTACAGATCCAGCCTGTGATGAAGCAATAGAAACGGACTGCCCAATTAGAGCAACCCATGGAATCTCAGATGCTTTTGGTGGACCCTGGCTAAGTAGAAGGGCCTGAGTAGCAGCAAGAGCTTTCTGATCTCCAGCAGCTTGATCAATCTTACTAATAACACCAACTGTTCTGGTTGCTGTCAAAAATAATAATAGAAGATATAATCAAAACATCAAATATCAAAGCCAAGTAGGAAATCAAAAATAAATACAAACCCTCTGCATCAAATTCCTTAGCTAGTCTGAGAGCTCTAGAGGAAGAAATTTCAGATGCTTGGGCAGCCGGAATAACCACCAATAGAATTGCATCATTACGTGCTGCATAATCACTCACCTAGAACCATTTAACACCAAGCACCAAAAGAACATTATGTAAGAAAAATGCAGGTACAATTTCTTAAGAAGATACCTAGAATGGTTCTAGGTGAAGAAATTTCAGATGCTTGAGCAGCCGGAATAACCACCAATAAAATTGCATCATTACGTGCCGCATAATCACTCACCTAGAACCATTTAACACCAAGCACCAAAAGAACAATATGCAAGAAAAATGCAGGTACAATTTCTTAAGAAGATACCTAGAATGTAACATGAAACATGCCTAGCATATCCACCAAATATAACAAGAAAAAACACTGTAAAAATATAAATAAAAAGCAAATTAATCTTTTTTTTTTCTTTTTGAGCAATTGATGACAGAACCAACAATCAGATTATACTTTATTTGTTCCAAATTTAAACACACTACTTAACTACGGATACAGATATAAACAACAACCCACCTAAACGAATTAGAAAAAAAAAAGGCAAAAGAAGATACCCACCATAGACTCGTCCATTGCCCGTTGGTCTAATCCAGGTAGATCTACTAATTTCAATGGAGGAGCTGAAATGAAAAAAAAGGTATAGTTTAGCGTCAACAATGTAAAAGCATAAGAGCCATTAAAAGAAAAAATTATTTACTTTCACCATAAATTCATGTAATTCAAACAAAATAAATGCCAAAGTGCTAGGAAACACTTGTAGATCTCAAGTATTTCCTATCAATATTCGGAAAACTGCGAGAATTCTCCACACAAAACCACGAAACAGTAGATAATTTGTATTATTTGATGAAAGGGAAACAGAAAATAACAAGATACAATTGATACTTTATTCGAGAGGACGGTCTTTCTCTCCCAAATCTCTAGACGCTGCTAGAGCCCAAAGAAACTAAGAGATCTCAAATGTCAACCAAAGTCAAGATGTCCTAACCCTATGAAAACAAACTATTTAATACATACAATCCAAAAGGATATCTCTAAACATTCCTACATTCAAATTTCCCTCCTAACTCCCTCAAAAATCCTTCCTAAATCGCTCTGTGGGATTTGCAGTTCGGTCAGCGCGTACAGGGAGGCAGAAGAGTTCCGCCTCTGTCCGTCTGAGACGGTACCATGTGGACCGGCTGGACTGGTCTAGTAATACTCTCCTCCCAAAGTGTCACCTTGTCATCAAGGTGGAACAAAGGAAACTACGGCTAAAGCACTTGATCAATCTCTCGCTCTCATCCTTCTGGATTTGGGGATAACGATACGAATAAATATTGATAGGTGAAACTACTTCCTTCATGATGATAGCATGCTCATGTCCCCGCGGAGAAGACAACCCCTGAGGCGGCTAAGAAATCTCACTAAACTGCTGAATCAATGGTTGTACTGAAAGAGGACTGATCCCCTCCGATCTATGTAGTTCCATCAGATAACCTTCCCCCACCTCCTGTATGCTCATCATCTTGGTTTTAAATGATATCATGGCTTTGGTGAGCCCTGTATGTCCCCTAATCACTACCTTTCTCCCATCCACCATCAGCTCCATTATCAATGCTCCCCAATTGACCTTGATATCCCCTAAGGTATGTAGTCGCTTCATTCCTAGAATCCTAGGATGATATCAGTACTCCCTAACTCCAATGGGAGAAAACCCTCCCTCACCTGAACCCCCTGTATGGTTAACACTACTCTCCCTTACATATCCCTGACCCGTCTCCACCTTCCCTGTACCCATCATCACTCCATAATACCCTATATCCACCAATGTCACCCCCAATTAGTCCACGACTTGGTTGGAAATGAAATTATGGGTAGCCACACTATCAATTAACACTACCACCTCACTGTGTGCTATCTCTCTCTTCATCTTCATGGTATAATTTAAAGTGAATCCCACCATTGAATTTAGGGAAACCTCCATCATCTAGATGCGGCTTATCCTCCACCTCTCTCTCTCCCATACTCTTACCTCCCTCCTCAGTTTTCTCGTCATCACAGACGGTGAGAACCTGAAGAATTCGATCCCTACACTTGTGCCTCGGAGTATACTTCTCATCACATCTGAAGCATAGTCCCTTCGCCCTCTTATCTTCCATCTCCCTCTCTGTCAGTTTTTTGAAGTTCCCCCCACTTCTTCCTCCTGTTGGATTCTCCCTGAGAATCTCATTAATGTTGCCTGATGCAGGCCTCTTGGGTGCTAAGAGTGGTCGTTGTCCTATAAGTGTCTCCTTAGCTACTACACTTGATTCCCTTCTCGAGATTCTTCTGATTTTTCACCATTTGTGCTAATTTCATGGCATCTCCCAAGTCATGAGACATCATGACTTTCACCGCCACTCTAATCTCTATCTTGAGCCCCTTCATGAAGTTTTCCTCCAATGCAGTCTCTGATAATCGCTCCACTCGACTAGCTAGGTGCTCGAACCGCTTACGATAGTCTGCCACTGATCCGTCCTGCACTAGTGCAAAAAACTACTGATAGAAGTCCTTTCCCCCGTTAGTTTGGAAACATTATAATAAACAATCCTTGAATGCTCTCCAGCTCCATATAGGTCTCTTTTAATCCCTCGACTGAAACCACAACAACGCCTTCCCTCCAAACATAGGCCTGCTGCTGTCAGTTTTTCCTCATCCGTCAACCCATTGACGGCGAAATACCTCTCCACCCTATAGATTCATTCATAAGCGTCCTCCCCATCAAAAATTGGCATCTTCAGCTTCCTCACTTTTGGATCTCACCCATTTCCTCGTATTCCTCCATACTTTACCCTCTCCCAAGTGCTTTGATCTCCCCACGTCTTCTAATTTTCTCTTACATGTTCATCTTCAAACCCCTCTTCACTTTCTTCCCTCCTTTCTCCAAAATTAGCACCCCCTTACCGTAATTTCCCTCCCTTCTCTCACAACCAGTACCCTTTACTCCTTGTTCCCTATTTCTCCATCTCTCTACATACCTTCCGCATTTCTCCTCAATGATTTCTACATCGTTCTCCCTCCTACATAAATCAGAATTCCTAGTTCTTCCCATTGGTCCCTTCGCCTCCGATTCCACCATTTGGATTTGATTTTCCAATAACTTTTTCACCATCAAATGAAGATCGGAAACTGTCTTCCACAGACGAAACCTTGTATTCTACGGATGAAATTTGATCCTCCACTGTGGCTTTTATTTGGCTCATCTCTCCTTCAAAATATTCTTCCAGCGCATCTACCCTCTTAGCCGCCATCAAAATTTCTAGATTTTGATCCAAAATTCAACAAGGGTTCCTTCCACCGGATGAAATTTCACCACTGAACTTTCAAAAAATCAGCCTCTAATGGTCCTAAGACTTGCTCTGATACCAATTTGATAGGAAACACTTATAGATCTCAAGTATTTCCTATCAATCTTCAGAAAACAGCGAGAATTCTCCACAAAAATCCACACAAAATCACGAAACAGTAGAAAATTTTTATTATTTAAGGAAAGGGAAACGAAAAATACCAAGATACAATTAATCCTCTAATTGAGAGGAGGATCTCTCTCCCAAATCTCTAGACGCTGCTAGAGCCCAAAGAAACTAAAAGATCTCAAATGTCAGCCAAATTCAAGATGCCCTAACCCTAGGAAAACAAACTATTTAATACATACAATTCAAAAGGAAATCTCTAAACATTCCCTATATTCAAATTTCCGTCCCAAATCGCTCTGTAATATTTGTGGTTCAGTCGGCGCGTTCAAGGAGGCGGAAGAGTTCCGCCTCTGTACACCTTAGCTGGTCCCATGTGGACTGGCTAAACCGGTCTAACGCAAAGCTTATGAGATGAATAGTATGGAAAAAGAATAATCATCAAAAAGTTTAGTAAACGATGGAAGATGGGAAGATGAAGAAGGGAGGGGAAGGGCATAAAACAAAGAGCTTAAAGTTGTGAAGTTATCCATTAATAACCCTTAAATTAGCTATAATGAAGCTATCCACAAGTTAAAGCAACTTTAAATTCTTCAATGATGAGGCGAGGGAATCCATTGTACAAAAAAGCTTGAAAAGCTAACTTTTTCCAAAGCACAGAATTTCTCTTGTTCCTCATAGGAATATAGTCTCACATGTTGGATTTTAGCACATAAGGCAACTCCATCCTAACTCCCTCATCCCACCCTGCACAACCCCCACATCCACTCCTTTGCTACAACATTTTTTTTTCTTTTTTTTCTTTTATTACCTGAAATAAAACTATATTTGATATCTTAAATCTATGTTAGTTTTATTCTTTTATTGAATATCACATAACTCAATTTATTTTGCGGTTTAAAAGATGGAAGTGGTGTGAGACCGATAATGCTTGTAAACTAGATTGAGATGTCATTGATGTTGGGTGTGCGATTGGATGGTGATGGGCACATTTTTTTAATAATGAAAGAATTTATGAAGCATGGACAAATAAAAAATCTTTATATGTCGGTCTTGGAGTTCTATCAAACATGGATGCATGCCCTAAGACTTGTCCGAATGCAAAAAAACTGTGCCTAATTTTTTTTTTTTCTAAACTTAATGTTGAACATGGTTATCACGCGTCAACACAAACCAAACACGCATAATTTTTTTTCTAATTCAGCAAATTTCCAATACGTGTTAGTGATTATATGTACTTTCTAGGGTTTCAAACATGGACACATGCCAAAATACTTGTTTTGGAGTTGTGTCAAACATGGACACATGCCTTAAGACTTGTCAATGCAAAAAAAAAACTCTACTTAAAATATTTTTTTTAAAACTTAAAGTCGAACATGGTTGTGACGCATGTCAACATAAACCAAACACGCACTATTTTTTTCTAGTTCAGCAAATTTCTAATTCATGTTAGTGATTATATGCACTTTATAGGGTGTCAACATATTTTGTAGAAAATCTAATGTAAATATTTTTTTTCTAAACTTAAAGTCGAACATGGTTGTGTGACATGTCAACATAAACCAAACACGCACAATTTTTTCTAGTTCAGCAAATTTCCAATTCATGTTAGTGATTATATGCACTTTCTAGGGTGTCAACATTTTTTTGTAGAAAATCAAATGTTGGTATTGATAAATCAAATCAAATGATTAACGATATTGATTTGTTTTTAGCAAATTAAAACACAATATGAAATATTGAAATTTAATTGTAATTAAACAAAAATATATTTACTCTTTCATTGGTATTTAAGTTTTTTTAGAAATATATGATATTAAATTTCATTGTGTTGTTTTTTGATAAAACATATTGACTTTAGTGTTTTAATTATACTTTATATAAATAGTTTATGAAATAAAACATCATGATTATGGCATGTCAAGTCCTATTCTGTACAGTCTTGTCACTACAAGTCGTGTTGTGTTAGATTCTCGTAACAGTTTTATGCTCCATATGTTGGTTTATAATCTAGGCTTAATTAACTAATATAACAATATAGTATGCTGATAGGAGTTGACTGAGTGACATTGGTAAGAACATATATGGAATACAGTGCTTATATTGATCAGTAAATTCATATATTTTAGGTAATATGTCAGCAAATTTCCAAGGATAAAATGTCCAGAATTAACCTGTGCTGGTACGTAGCTTCAAATAGATCTCATCACCACGACCCTTTCCAGATCCCTTGCTCAGCCTATCTTGTAGAGAATGCCTAAGAGCACCTATAAACCACATATGCATGTTACGGGCGTTTTTGTTTCAAATAAAATATCCAAGAATTTCTAAAAGCATTTGGCAGGATCCTAGGATATCTCACTTGCAGAAACCTGCTGCGATTTGTTGTCAATCTGCAGAACGATGGATTTGCTGCTCAAAGAGTTATCTCTCTGCAGATCAATGCTGATTGGCGCTCTAGTTGCTCCATTTTCCCCAGTGGGCTGCGCAGGAAAAAAATCAGCCAGCCCAATGAAAAATTCTAAGCAGAAAGCAACAGCAGATTGAACGTACCAGAACGGGGTGCCCGATCAAACTATTTAAAACTGCCGACTTTCCAGCACCCTAGGGTGGGAACAGAACAAAAATAAAAAAAGCACAAATTACGCGAATCCATATGAGATAGACGTCGATGCAAGATGAGACGAACTCTTTCCCAAGGGAGATCGCTCTTCCATGAGTTAGGAAAATGAACTTACAACGTTCCCGAGCGCAACGACGTTGAGAAATGTAGAACTCCGGCGGGGGGACTTCTCATCAACGTCCTCGTCCGAAAGGAGATTAGAGGCCTGTATCATGGACTCTGATAGCTGGATGAGCTCCTCTATTGCCTCCATGGCACTCGGACGACCAGCCGGTGACTCCCACTAAGAAGAGACGGATCTATGAACAAGAAACTTATGACCGAAACAAGAGAATCCCGATCAATAGCTGGAGAAGATAACTTGATGAGGATAGGACCGCCGGATCTTGGAACTTTTCCAACAGATAGAGGAGAATGGGAGATCCAGTCCCCTTCAACTAAATTTCGATAGGAAGAGGGTGGGAATCGGGGAAAGGCATGAGAGAGCGGGAGGCTAAGGATCTTAGTCGCCGCACTTTCGGTCGGAGGAACAAGAGGGACTTCGATGGCCGCGGCGTCGAAGAATGAAAAGTTGAAACGCGAATGGGAGAAGAAAGACGAGGTGGAATTTCCGTTTCTTCCAAAAATTGGGTGAGATATGTGTCCCAATTTTTGCAGATTTAAAATTTTTGGATTTACTGTACATAGCTTTCAAAATATTAAAATATATGTATTCAATATTTAAATTTTTTTTATAAATAGTATCCTCTTCATTCTTTAGCTTCCCTCTTTTCATTGCACAGATCAAGTGAACTGTGATAATAAGATATGATGATAGCCATCATTGGGTTGAGAGGCAACAATAATCAGGATAGGTATAATGGTCACTACATGTAAAAAGAAGTTAAGCTACTCATAAAATTTCATTAAGATTAGGGTAGATTTGCCTTTATCAAGGCACATCTATACCAAAAGCAGATATACGGGCAAAGGCGATGATAGAATGGAAAGTGTCACGGAGATCGATGGGATTGACATGGCTAGAAAATATGATATTGATTGACAATAATTGCCGCGATAACTTGGAGGAGGATCTAACATGGGGGTGAGGCCGAGGTTTAGAATATGGCCAATTCTTGAGATCGAGGCAAATCGTGTAATTTTTGACAGGTCCCAGTAAGGTCAGCATACGAGATATAATGGAGTTAGTGGAATGCTAGAATAGTGAAGTTTAAATATTAAATATATAAAATTCCAAGTGTTTTGTATGTAAATCTCCATAATTTCTGGATTTACAAAGGGAAAATCAAATTTATATGCATCATATCATATATAATAGTTTAAGATTCTTGGTTTATATTTATTTATAGGAATATGCTTGAAAGCTTATTTTTCATTTAAATATCTTTACTATAAAAAAATATAGTCATTGTCCCTCGTAATCCATATCAACCTTGTCAAATTTTCAAGTTCAAAATAGTTAGCGACATCATGTCCAACTCCTTTGGTTTGAGATTAATCCTTACATCGCAATGGTGAACATGAATTGGACAAGTAGTAACCCCACTTCAGCAGCCATGGGCTAGTTTTCCTAAATTTTGAATGATGTTATTGGTATACAATTTAAGTGATCTATAATAATTCATCTGTTGTATATTATATTTGAGCAAGATATTAAAGCTCATTTTGGTGGAAACTTATGTTTCGTTTGGGACGGTTTTTTATTGCTTCTTAAAACGGAGTTTTAGTACAAAAATTTTAATTTTTGTACTAAAATTCCGTTTTAAAAAGCAATAAAAAAGTAGTCCCAAACGAAACCTTAATGTAAAAATAGATGGAGGATAGATGAAGCAGATTCGAGCAAGGTTCGATATTTATTTTAACAATGTAAAAAATATATCTTGAATAGGTTAGCATATAATTTGAACCATATTCAAACATGATTTGAATCATATTCATTTGATCTTCATTTAAATAAAATTGCTAACATATTGAAGTTTGTTCAACCATTGTTCGATCCAAGTTAGAAACGTGCTAGAAAGTTCTTCGAACAATGAGCAAATTATGTTCGAGCCATTTAGCAATCTTGTTTGAGCTTATATTTAGAACATGTATGTTCTAGAGGTGAATCAAGCATCATATTACTATGGTATACAGAGGAAAATGAAAACAAGACAAATGTGTTGGAATTACTGGAAAACCGAACAAATGATTAATAGTTCCAAGAAATATTAGCCTCGAAGATCTCATTGATATTATATACACGGTTACATAGGCATATAAATAGATTTTACGTATAGTAAAACATAATGCATGGTATCATTTTCTCGAATAAAAAAAATGACAAAATATGATATTATATTCTTCTTCAATGAGATATATTTATTAAGTTAACATCGATCTCCCATTTGTTGTCAACTGCACAAAAAAAAAGAATTAAATACAAATTATAGCAATGATAAAAATATTTATATAAGCAAGGATCATATAATAGCAAATGAAGATGATACAAATTCTATTTGTCCCACTACAGGAAATTCATCAATTACTGGCGGTCTGGACCGGCGATTCTCCAACCGCCGGTAATAACAGCGGCTTAGCAGGCGGTCTAACCAATCGTTATGTAAATTAATGCCGTCGGAAATAGCGGCGGTCCGGAAACCGCCGGTTAACCCACCGGCATTAAATCTTACCGATGCGTTACTGGCGGCCTGAACCGCCGGTGTTAAGTAAATTTATTTCCGACTGTCTAAACCGCCGGAGAGCCGCCGGAAAATGCCCTAAAATAAGCCTTCCCGAGCCTTCCATTTCATTTCATCGCCAGCTGTCTCTCTCCTATGCGACGCTCACCCTTGTCTCCTCCGCCCTCTCGCGATAGAGATGCGTCCTTCGGCCATCAACGAGGTCCCTCCAGCCGCCTAAAAGTTCCTCCAAACGAAGATATTTCCCCCACTGCAATGCTGAAGACTCTCCCCGCTCCCCGTGCGTGAAACCGGCCTTCGAGGTTTGCGTTTTTTTTATGCATTTTGTTTCCATTTTGGTTAGATTACATCAAGGATTAGCCTTAAGCCAATTTGTTTTTGCTTTAGTCATGAATGTTCTCACTAGACATTTGCGAGAGGATGTTCTTTGTTGTATGCTTTTTGTTGATGATATTCTTCTTGTTGATAAGACTAGAGAGGGAGTTGATGGTAAACTTGAATTATGGAGGTCAACCATAGAGTCTAAAGGTTTTCACTTGAGTAGATCTAAAAATAAATATATGAAGTGTAATTTTAATAGTAATAGACCTAGTGAGTGGTTTGTGACTTTGGACGATCAAGTCATTAATAAAAGTACACGCTTTAGATATCTTGGACTATTGTTCAGAGTTATGGTGAAATAGAAGGGGATATTATCAGCAGAGTTCAAGTTGGATGGTTGAAATGGAGGAATGAATCGGGCTTGTTGTGTGATAGAAAAGTCCCCCTCAAACTTAAGAGAAAAATCTATAAAATGGCGGTTGAATGGCCGATACGCCGCCGGTACAAAACCGGCGGTCACCGGTGCTTTGACCGCCGGAACCTAACCGGCGGTATAAACCGCCGAAAAAGGTTTCCGGCACCGTTTTTATCGGCGGTTTTTGAACCGCCGACAAGCCGCCGGTGTTTTTCAAAACCACCGAAAAACTAATGGTAACTGCTGGAACAAACCGTCAGTAATGAGTGATTTTCCTGTAATGTCCAACACATTCTGTTGATCCACTAAAAACTAATTTAATAGTTGATGATGGATATTCCATTAACTTACAAGATACATAAAATGGTGGCTTCATAGATTCTTTATTACAAGAGTATTCAATAGATATCATAACCTCGCTATGTGATGCTTCTCAAATTAATAAACAACTAAATTTTAATTCTTCGTATATCTTGGGGTTGAAAATAATAACTCATAATGTGGACAACACATGACTAACTTTTATCCTATAAAGGTAGTGCCTAAAAATAACTCTAATTCAATGTATATTGATCAAATATTCTTATGTCTCCTCAATATATGTAGAAGTTGGACAATTTTTTTAGAGTAAATAATATTTGCAGAAGTTATATTTATATGCAATAAAGAAATTTTTTCAATTTAAGGTGGAGAAATAAGGAAAAGGCAATTTGTATAGCCATTGCACTTCTAAAAAATGTTCATAAAACATGTGAGATATGATGTTGGTATAGTAAAACATATTTGAGATTTGAAGCCATATACAAGAACACTCTTATTACTTTGATGTTAGATCCAAAGAACATCATTAAGTTCAACTATGGCTTAATGGACATATAATCATGGTAAGAGTTGTTGGATCTTACTATAATTAAAAGTCAAGATGATAATATCATATGTGAAGAAGGGCAATGGAAGTATTTTGTCTTATGAAAATATTTTGTGGTGTTGTGAACAAGCTATCACTCATATAAGAAGGTTTTATGAAGTATTCTTCTAGATTTTATCATTATATATGATCATGATGCTAAATATGCAAATTAAATCTAGTGATAATAATATCTTTAGTTTGACACTTTATGATGTTTAAATATATATGTTTACTTATATTTGGTTGTTTGTATTCAATATTGCAAAGCAACACTTATAAATTCATGTATGTCATTATTGTTAAGGGTAGATGAAGCATATATAAATTCAAGATGGGGAGATACTTTGCTCATTGATATAACTTGGTGGCAATAAGAATTTCAGACAGCTTTGATAGTATTATTAAGGTTGCACATTCATATACAGTGATATTGATATTAGTGTTATTGAGACACAATGCAAAGATAATTCTCTGAAAGATATGCCACCACAATGAATACAAAATTCTTTTTGTCAAATCTTCGAGAAGATGGAAATAAATAAATATATCCCATTGTGGATCAAAATATTATGGTGAGATACTCAATCTTTAATATAAGGAGATAATTATTTGTATAGCTAATTTTTGTGAACTCTGAATAACTAATAACACACATGTCTTAATTTAAAGTTTATTACATTGAGCTAACTCTGCCCATAAAAATAAATACGCATATTAATTCAATTGATCATCATAACATATTATATAGGCAAAATTATAAAAAGGAGCTGATTTTATATGATAATATGTAGAAAGAGCATAGGAACGAAAAAATTTAAAAAGGAGCAAAAACGGACTGCCAAATAACGCATTAGAAACCGAAAAATATTAATCTGATTTCTAAGAAACTGGAGCATTAAAATCCGGTTTCCATCGAAACATGAAAATCGGGTTTCTATAGAAACCCGATTTTAATGATCCGGTTTCTATATAAATCGGATAATTCTTATTTTAATAATATAATTTTTATATTTAAATATAATTAAACTGGTTAATTATATTTTTTCAAAAAAATAATTTGTTTTAGTTTTATAATATAAATTTTATAATTTAATTATTAAAATTCGGTTTACATAAATTTTGTAATTTAAATTGTATAATAAATTTTTATATGTAAATCATTTAATTTTTTAAAAAATATTAATTATAAATTTTTTATAAGTTATTTCTTTAATTATATATGAATTTTATTTATAATTTTGAAATATTAAATCATAACTTGATTCGACTATAAGCATGTCATGTTAAGAAACTGTTTGGTATCCAAATAATGG